AAAGATGTCCTATCTGAGGTTAACATGAAGCTGATTTAGCAGAATCCATCGATCGTCAGCCCTCATTGAACTGTAGGTTCACTGGACCGGTCACGCTTTACACAACTTGTGTATACAGGACATTTAAAGACGACTAAGAAATGGAATGACAATAACACAGTTACAGTGGAAACAACGACTGAATCAATAATTTGGATGGGAATTTGACTCCCAGGCCAAGTGTCACGGCCTCATGCAAACCATCAGACCACTAATTTTTATAGGCTAACCTTCTTGTTCATGTAACAGGTACCAGACAAGTTCTAGATTTGGCCACTGTGTTCATCCATCCATCCATTATCCATACTGCTTATCCTTATAGGGTTGCAGGGGGGCTGGAGGCAACTCCAGCTGACACTGGGCGAGGTCGGGGTACACCCTGGACAGGTCACCAGTCTATTACATGGCTGACGTGGAGACAGACAACCATCCGCACTCACACTCACTTAATTTTGCCGGAGAGAACCCATGCAGGCACACATGAAAACTCTACAAATAAAGGCCCAAGCGGGCCGGCAGGTTTCGAACCGAGAAACTTCTTGCTGTGAGGCAACAGTGCTAACCACTGCACCACAAAATACTAAAAAGTATCTTAAAATATAAATATTATTTTCAAGCTATTTTAGAAATTGCATGTTATTATAGGAGAAAGTGGAGGCTACATTTGTACTATATAATCACAGCAGATGTAGGCTACAATCATATGATGTCAATAAGTTAACGTAACGTTAGGTGAAGGGCAGGTGTCTTCCAATGTCTCCCTTGCTCTTTACAAGGGTAAACAAAAATCATGTGACTCCTTTCTTGGTTACAAGTCTTCACTTTTCCAACCACTCAGCAACAATGGATAATTACTATTATCGATGACCATTATCAAAGGCAAGGTCAGTGTAGAAAGATGGGGCTGGCAGTAGCAACATGGACACAACTCATTAACTGTATACTGTATAGCTACAACTGCTTGTTATATTATCATTGGTCAAGTTGACTGTCCATCACTGAATGGAAACAAACCTACATTGTAGTTCATATGTTTTTATGTTGAAAAATACATTCTCATAATGGGGAGCATGGTGTGAGACAGCTCTATTGATTCTCTCCATATTCAGGATTTACCATTTGAGGTTTCTTCTGTAGAACTTTTATTAACAAAAAATACTGCTATTACTACGCTGGACTGAGTGTGTAAATTGTCTCAGCAAGCCACATGAGTCTTCTCCAGAAAAGGTTTGCACTGAGGTAGGGCTTCTGATTCATTCACAGTGTGAGGAAGAAAAACCAGAGCTGCAGTATGCCCGCAGTGACACGCTCAGGAGAGAGCCACTCTGAGGCGAGCACAGATTCCTAGTTTAAGGCAAGAGAGGGAGAGGGATTGGGTGCTGAAGACAGACCATATTTATAGCCAGGGATAGGAATAATTCATCGCGATCAAAGTGCAGATCATGCTTCGTTCCATCACAGAGCAGATGTGGCGGAATGAAAAGAGCGCACTTTCTCTTTCCGTCTGCTCTCTAGCGGCTTGCTAAATGGAAACAGTGAGGCAAAGTTATCTCTGTGAAGCTACCGTGTGTTTGTCGTCATGTGCACTGCGCTGGCTCTCAGGTGGCTTCGCTTTAGAAGAAGAGTGCGACCCCTCCGAGGTGTAGCATGCAAGAAAAAAAGAAAAAAAAAGGAGGAAAAAAAAAAGAAAAGGAAAGCCTTCAACCCGCAGCAGGTCTTCTCAATCAGAGCGAGGAGTGAATATCAGATTCTGAGATCACAGTGGGAGATCATGTGCCTGAAACCATGAGTCATAAAGCTCACACACACACACACACACACACGCACACACACACACACACACAACAACAACAACAACCGCGGTATGTCACATGGCTCCTGTATAAGCATGTGAATGAAGTAGATCACAGAGTCAGAGATGACTGGCAGCTGAAATACTATTTGTCTTTCAGGTAAGAATCCTTTACTCTTGTTTTCTATGTGTAAATGTCCATGCTTAATATCACCAGTGGCTGCCTCTACTAGTATTAAGACAACCCACATACAGCCATCTCTGCACAAACACACACACACACACACACACATAAATGTCTGCATCCCACCATACCAGTAGTCTTGTTTTTCATTTTCCTCCCACCCCTGATACACTCACTTTCCCAGGGACACACACATCCCCATTTTCTTCCTCTTTTTTTTGTTTTCGGCCCCTCCTGCCTTTTCTCTCCCAGTAATGCTTTTTCTGCAATCACACACAAACACATAGACACACACATGCCTGCCTGCTTCATCCAGTTTCATTTTCTCTCCCTCCCACACACAGACACACAGACACACACACACACATGCGCCTGTTTCTTTCTCTCTTTCATTTTCTGCATCTCCAACCCTTTCTGCTTCCTTGTCACTCCTACAGACCACACACACACACACGCACACACGCACACACGCACGAACACACACACAAATGCACAACCGTACAGACATACAAGCTCCTTCATCTTCTCTTTTATTTCTTCTCCCTCCCACACTTTTCCTATCACTATCTCCCTGCACGCACACTCTCTCTCTCTCTCTCTCTCTCACACACACACACACACACACACACACACACACACACACACACACACACACACAGACGCACTTGTTCCATTCGCTCTCATTTTCTCTCACCCTCCCTTCCTCTCCCAATCACTCCTTCAGCATGCACACACCCTCATGCATACCTCTTTCTCTCTGTCTTTTACTGTTTCTCTCCTCCCGTCTCCCTACCACAATCACTTAAACACACACAAACACACACACACACACACACACACACACACACACACTACCGGCAGTCCAGCTTCCCTTACTCCCAGCTGGGCTTGGACAGCTCTCTTCCTCTGGCCTCTCTGGGCCATCTGGAGTGCAATGTCCCCGCTCCGCTGGTCCCCTGCCAGCCGCTGAGCCTCCCAGGATGAACACAGCATCTTCAAGCACAATTTGTACGCGTCAAAGCTCTGCTGTGTGTCCAGTGACCCAGCTGAGTGAAGTCATTGAGTCTCGCATTTCCCACCTCAAAGGAGCCTCATTCTGCTTTGATGACACCTGCGCTCTCCCATCTCTCTGGATGGAGGACGGCGCAGTAATTGATTAAAGCCGCTGAGCAACCTTACTAGTAATTGCAGCTCTGTTTATGATCTTGAGGAGGGTTTGTCTTTGCATGAGGGGTGAATATCAAAATGTGGCTCACAGGTCAAGTACCTGCACAGGATTCTCAAGTAAAAATACACTTGTCTGCTGCACAGATTATAAAATCTGCCTCGATTAAGGAAGAAAATCTGATCCCCTCTAGTGAAGACATGCAAGACTCATATTAAATCATGCTATGGACACTCATCTGCCAATACAAACAATCCTCCAAACAGCAGCAGAACCTAAGAAATAATGTAAGATCTCCTGACTCTACGGTTTTATAATCCTTTAATACAAAGTGTCAAAGTCTTGGCGGATTTGAGCCGCCAATGTGCAAACTTGTCTCCTGCAGCTTTAAGCTCTGTGCAAAGTCTCCCACAAGCCCGCAGGTTGTCATCTGAGTCCTCTGAGTTTGGAGCTAACTGACTTAATGATACAAAATAACAAATGTATTGCAATACAAAAGACTAGTGGAAAAAAAAAATGTGCCTTTGAAATTAAGGCATGCCTTCAAATTAATGGCAACTTAAGTCATTCAGCCACAAGTTTCTCACCTCAAAAGGGCCTTGTTCTGCTTTGATGACACCCACGCTCCCTCTCAGCTCGACATGGTAACTGATTAAAGCAAGTAAGTCACAGTTCTTGCAATTACAACACTGTTTAAGATCTTTTAGATTTTAAACTTTCTTAACTGACCGCCGACATAAGTGCATTATGAATGCAAAAAAAGCAAAGGAAAACAAGCAGGAAACGTGGCCTCGCACCGGATAATCTGCTGACTACATTTGTTTGTTTGTTTGTTTGTTTGTTTTTTTTCATTTGATTCTGGCTGTGGCAGTTTTTATTCTGATTTCTTTGGACAGCGCTCTGGGAACATCACAAGTTTTAAAGTCACTACAAAGCTTAAGGTTGTGTTCAAGATGCTGGAGCAAAATCATTTACGCTATAAAAGTGGCATAACCCAAAATACATGCCCGGGGCCAGTTAGCGTGCAGTGGCTATTTTTATAGTCTAGTAAACACACCAATCCTATGCGACACCCGAGCAACAACACACGCAAACTCTGCCCTGATCTTCTCTACATTCTGATTGTGCTCCTACCTACAGCTCTGCCAGGCTAGCGGGGGGAAAAATGAAGAGCCACTAAGCTGTGGAATTGATCATTTCCACACTGTCACTCCAACAATACCTGCTGAGAACACCTGTCCTATGACATGTGTGAAAATATTAAACAACTAAGAGCAAACAAACTGCAGTAATAGTCAGTTTACACTATGCAATAATATGGTTCATTTTGCAGTGACATCATTTGTCAACTGATGAACTATGTTTGAATTTGAAGTAAAAAAAAACTCTATGTAATTCACTGCAGCCTATAAAATGAACAGAACAGGGAAGAGACAGCCAGTGCAAACTTTGCTGCTCCAAGATTTGGCGAGAACAGTTGACTGGAAACCAAAGGTAATTTTGAATAGAGGAATACAAAATAATGACAAACAGTGAAATCAACAGGCAATCTGTGGCATCTGTGGGTCAACACTTTTCTATAATTATAGCATGTAAGCTAAGCCAACTCAAGAGTGATGGATAGTGTAACTTTGTATCTACGCCTGGCGTGTAAGATCTTTAAAATGAAACACATGCAGACCCTGAGGACAACAGATACAGGCAGCAGACACAGCGGACGCTGGTGGCTTTAGAGGATGTAACAGCAATATCACAGAGACGTGACTGAGAACAGCTCATCTGCAGTTTACTGTGCGCTGCATCTAGTGTTTTGCACTTACCTTAACGGGGCTCCCCAAATACCATGAAGCTCAGGAGCAGGTGGAGAAGTGCAGAGCGTCTTCCGCTTCTTCACTAGTTGATCAGCCAAGTCTCTCTCTCTTTCGCTCTCTCACTCTCTCCCTCTCTCCCTCACTCTCTCTGTTTTAGCACCACCGCCTCTTTGGAGAAATGATGCAAGTTTACGGTCGGCGCTGTGAACGCATCGGCTGTGCAGACTGAGAACACAGAGTCTTCTCCTTCAAGTTTGATGCCACCTCGGTGATGCTCTGGCTGGAGCAAACATGACTCGCCGTGCCTGATGCTTTCAGGAAGAGTGCGGCCAATCACAACGCCTCTCGTTCTTTACTCTCACATCTTTGCGCATCCCCGCAGAGTCTCCAAGGACCGGTGCCTGTCTGCCTCCGGGCGGGCACGGCAGCGGTATTAGGGACTTTAAGACTGGCTTCTCCTGCTACTGGAGCGCGTTTTCATTTGCTGTGCTCTCTTTGTCTTCGAGGCGATGCTGATTACTGATATAAAGATGGGGGCTATGAATTTCATCCCGCGCATCGACTAGGTACGGGAGCGGAGCAGCGGGAGCCAAGAGCAGGAGGAGTGTCTCTTAGCGGTCTGAGTTCATTAAAGACTCTTCTAAAATGGATGAGCTTCTTGTCTTTCCGTTATTAAAACCCCGTTTTTTCTTACCTGATGGCGGGATCGTGGCGCGCTGCAAGTGCGTACTGTATGAAGTGCGCCGCTACATGCAACTGAGCTACAGTAGAGGCGACACAGAGTTTAAACAAGATGCCTCTGTCACAGATGTGCGAGCTGTCCAGTCAATGAAGTCCAACGTCATTAATTATGAATTAAGTTATTCATTATGATTTAGAAAGCAGTGCCACTTTGCATGTGGAGGTGTTTATGAATGTCTCTGTTTGTGTCTGAGATATTCCACTAGGTTGAGCACAACATCTCAACTGAGGACAATAGTGCCACCAATTTGTCTCCCCTATACATGCATTCACCATCAAATGATTTGTGGGTTAGGAAGTTAGAGTTGAAGTACTGTAAGTCCCCAAACATGCGCGCGCGCGCGTGTGTGTGTGTGTGTGTGTTTGTGTGTGTGTGTGAATATTCTACGGTTGGGCAGTCTATATGAACAGTACATTTTTCATGCCCTCTACAATATATTCAGTCCCTGAAGTCGTATTGCATTTGGCATATACTTCTCCAGCTCAGCGGTTCCGGTCCAACAGAGAGACAGAGACACAGATGTGAGAGTCCACCTGCTTCAGACACTCAGATCCTTTTGGTTGGTCTTGCTGTGCAATGATGTCAGTGCAATTGTGATTGTATTGATTTGAGCTCTTGTCAGTCTTTTTTTCAAGGCGATGAGATCTAAGTGCCACTTCAACACATTGGGCTTATCAAATTAAGCTGGTGTAAAATATTACAGCCCTCAGCCAGTGAGCAGCCATCAGAAAAAAAGCACACACACACAATAGCCTATTTAATCTTGCACTGATTTGAACTAAAGGATTTTCCCCCGTCATTTTCTCTAAAGAAGGATGCATAGTTGGAGAAAATAGAGCTTTAATGAAAAGAGAAAAAGCCCTGTGGGATGGATATCAAAAGCCAGTGGATGTGCATAATTCATCTCAGACTATTTCACAAAGCCCTGCAGAATGGCTTTCTTTAACCTGTATTTTTTTTTCTTTCATTTCAAAAAAAAAAATCTAAATATTAGCACTCTGTGCTGCAGTTCACCATTTTGTTTCCTAAGTGACAGCTAGTACAAGTAAAAACCTTTATTCAGAATATTTCTATTGCAGCAGGACTCATTTAAATCTCAAACAGCCAGGCGTGCACAGCTTGATAATCTGGCATCAGCTATTGGGGTTGGTAAGCGCTAATGAGATATCTCTGATTTTAACCTGTTATGTTTACAGATAGAAATATGTCATCTTCATCTCTTCATGTCATATCATGTGACTGAGTTTAAAAGTAACAGATCTGTGATATGTTGCAAGTAAACAATGTCTGTGTTCAAATAAATATCACATGTCATTGTGTGTCATTGTCAGTGCATTGGCTTTTTCTCAGGGTGTGGCTGCTAAGAAACATCCCAGGCTTCAGCCGGCACAGCTGACACACTCAACATGCTCCTCCTGACTTGCGCACACCCCCCTCTGCTGGTGTTAGGAAGCAAAGAAAAAAAATGGTTTTTCCTTTGGCTTCATTTGGCTGCAGGGACTCTGGGTAGGAGTCCAAGAACACTAATTCAGACCCACAGGAAGGCTTTTCTATCCACTGCAGCACAAGCAGGGTTTATTGTGAAGCCTTTTTAATTCACAAAGCTGCTGCATGTAAGTGGGACAAAACATCGCCCAAGTCCTGAAGATCTAAGAGGCAGCAGCAGCACAACAGCTGCAGTATGTCTCTGCTGGGACTGTGGGCCGCTCGCTGCGTGTGGTATCAGCAGACCTGACTAGGAAAAATGCTGAAAATGATCAGTGTTGCTTATTTAGCATTAGTCAGGGTGAATAATCTGTATATGCACTTTTGAATGTGGTTTTATAAGGCATCATTTACAGAAAAATACTGTTTGATGCGTTATTGTATTCTCATATACAATACAATACATGACAACAAGAAATACATTTCATCATGCTCTGAAAGGTGATCAGGAATGATATGATTTTGTGTTTATTTTTAGGTTTTGCTTGCTCAAGAAACAAAGTAATAAAGTGGACAGGACCATTTAACAGCATCTGGGGACGGAGGTGTCCACGTGTCTAATGTACTTTAATGAACATGTAGTCTGCTGGGCAGCTAGATCCTGATGGATTTTGAAGGTTGTGAGTCTTGACACAATTCCCTGGCCAAAAGACAAACAACTCCCTCATGGTACACTCATCAGTTCTATCCCTCTCACTGCTCATCGCTCATCCAACTCTGGCATCTGGTGTTACTCATAATCAATAGTGTTGCGATCCAAAGTCTGCCCAGAGCAAGCAGTTGCCAATTATATTGCGCCCACAGAATATTGTTACTGTCATGGTATAAGTATCTTTTTCTTCTTAGCTCAACTGAAAGCTTTGTATTGTCATTCACACTTCATGGATGTTCAGTTGTATGAAAAACAGCATTCTTGTTTTTGCTGCCTAAAGAATCAGCCATAAATCTCCAGATGCTCTCAACATCTGTCTGATATCTGCTTCTTTAAATGGATTTATATGTTCACAATTAATTCATTTTCGTTCTTTACCGTACTATTCTCTGCGTTAACCTGTGCAAGGATTTGTTAGCTATGGATATCAAGTAATGAATGATTCATTACATTCTGACACAAACTGTACTCCAAGGTCCAATAATGCCTTATATAATCTTCCTCAAACTTATTACAGACTCAGCAATGGCATAACTCTGCAGTGCTCTAAATTGCTCTTTCGGCCCAGCCACCCTTTGATTGATTATGATAAATGGGTGTGAGCAACAGTTTAATGAATTACACCAGCCAGAATAAATCCAGGATTCTCCATCTGAGCGGGCCGGTTTATTCTTTGGTATTGACTGGTACACAGCATACAAGCGTCTCCAATTTCATCACAGGTCAAAGCCTCGAAGGTTCACAGGTTCACTCTGTTTTCAGCCTGGTCATTACGGGTTCTGCTAGAGTGGTGATTTATTGAAAAAAAAGAGCCAGCAGAAAAGAAAGATTCAACTCGAAAAACAAGTTTTCATAGTTACAATACATTCAAAATGAAAAATGCATTCGTAAGATTGAAACTGATAGTGCTGCAAAAAAAGAAAAAAAAAAAGCCCACAAACACTGCACACGAGCAGCACATAATTAGATATGAGTGATTGAAGAGCGCCTGCAATGCAGCTTCATCGTGGACACAGCAGAGACATTATGTGATAGTGATAGCACTCAAAGCTCGACAGACAGAGGCAAAAAAAAAACATCTGCTTTCAGTGCTTTCTTCGTGACCATCTCTGCAGCACAAAAACTCTGTGATACTTTATCCTGTGCTCGTCTGATGAAGATGAATGCATTTGTGCTGCACCTCATTTGAGGTTTCCAGTGAGGGTGCACTAAGCTGGAGTCAGGCCCTGATCAATTGACAGGCAAGGCACCGCGTGGGCAGCCAATCCCCCGGCTGAATACTCCAATATCAGGGTGTGGACAAAAAGCATTAGGCCGAGGAGTGAAGATCTGTGGGATGGATAAACCACAGGCTATACATTTTACTTTCTGTATGCCAATTATCTGCAAATACTCAAACAGGCGGCTTTAGGTTTATTTAAATATTCAGACTGTGTTTATTACCCACAGCACAATCAGCTGACTTGGCTCTGTAGTACTGTGTTTTTGTGCTGTTTTTTTAAATCTTTTGTTGTTGTTGTTGTTGTTGTTGTTGTTGTTGTTGTTGTTGTTGTTGTTGTTGTTGTTGTTGTGCACCCTCATTTGTGGCCTCTTTTGTCGGGGAGATAAATAAACAGCCTCAGCGGCTCTAAGCTTTGGTATCAGTTTGAGAGCACCTGCCTGCAGACCGGGTGATGTGCTCTGGGATGGCTGTATTTGGGTTAGCAGGATTCATGTTTGTGTCAGGACCACAGGATGACCTGTCTCTTCCACAGAAGTGTAAAGTGATGAGTTGTGACTTTACTTGTCTGGCAGTCATATATTTGACTCCAGTGTCTGTCGGCTTCTGCCTGGCACCGGGCTACCAATTTACTATGGTTCAGAAGGAGACAGGGTGAAAATGAACATTAAATATTGATTTCAGGTTGTACCGCAGACTGGGGCATCCTTCACGTTATTCAGGTGCTTTTCTTGGTGGCTACATATGCTGTTATTTTTTAATTGTTACAGTTGTTTATCAGGAAAAAAAATATATATAATTCAGGAGAGAATTAAAGAAAGCATATGCTACTGTAAACAAAAACCTTGACTCATCTAGCCTTTATCCTTTTGCAACTTTTGTGTTTAATCCAAATGTGGCATTTTATTTTCATCCATGGTTTTGGAAATCCTTCTTCAACAATTTTTGGCTTGTTTTTTTCATTTAAAGCTATGACACTGACAATATATCAGACAGCTGTCTTTGGAAGAACAATAAAGTTTTGGACTTATTTCCAGTACTGTACCTGTGTTATCACTGTCCACCAACCTTCATCAGCACAGAAACAGGAATTCCATGTCTGATCTACTAGAAACTAAGATCAGATTCGTATCTTTTCGCTGGAGAATATATCTTAGTGGGATGAGCAAAATATACTCCCCCGCACTTGTTTCCTGTGAGAATGAGAACTTTTCTTATACTGTGGAGAACACAAATAATGAACTCTCCTTGGGTGCAGGTTCACATCCACCTACAAATCTTTTACAGTTTTGGTCTTTTGAAAACTTTAAGAATAGTTTCAGAGAATCTCACCATATTTCAGC